TTGGGGTCGTTGCTGGGAATTGATTGCACGGCGGTGTGTTGTGCATCCTGATCACACATCAGGCACAACGGCTAGCTGCACGATGCTCTTGTCTGTCTATTTAAACGCCCTGCTCGCTTGCTTCAGCTTGCCAGGCGAAGCTGCTCCCCTTCCCCATCCCTCTTAGTTTTTGCAGCGACTTCCAAAGCATGTATTCTTCCATGTCACAGAACAACTCAGCACCACCTCCATCACACACCAAGCTGCCAATGCGATGCCTCCACTCCCACTCATCCGTTTCCCCGAATGCAACACCGGGTAAGATTTTATAAAAATCTATTCATTCCTTCTCCTCCACATCGTGCTAATCTTTCCTCCCGTCGTAGCTTGGAGGGTGCAGATTCTGGAAGTGGAAGAACAAGTACATACAGTACTTTAGTGCGCTGTGGTGGCATCTGATTTCGCACGCGTCGGTCCATCGCCACGTCGCACTTCTCGAGCAGAACCAGTCGCTGCTGAAGAACATTTTCGTGTTGTGCCTCCCGAATTTGGTGGTCATGGCCATGATCTTCATCCACGAGCTTTGAAGCATCATTTCCCTCTGCGTAGGGAGCGCCTGCTCTGTAGTGTCATTTTCCCCTGCGTACACTGCGTTGTAGACATATATGTATTTCTTCTTGTGCCCAGTGCACTTCATTTCCACACGATTTACCTTTGTGCTGTGGACTGCATGCACCCACCAGTATGTTAAGCTTGCTCACGCAGCCTGCGAGCTGGTCTATCAATAGATCATCTACTTATTGTTACAACTGCCCCAACGTAATTAGTCAACCCATATTAAGAAAACGAACATCACCGTGTAGAAGTAAACGTACATACAGCGACAGCAGAGAGAGTCATAAATTGCAGGGGAGACATGCGCGTCCGACCCATCAAGATGAAATAACTATCGAGGCATCGCCCGTAATTGGCTCAAATGCTTCAATAAGACAAGGCTCTGCGCATCATCAATACCAGCAGGCTCCCCTGCACCCGAATAATGACACCCAGCATGAATTAATTACTTCAGTTATACAAGGGTGTATTGGGACGAGCATAAATTTATGTGCCCCATTTGTACAAGCGTATAGCGGGCGTATTCACATTTGCCCAGCATTAACACTGTGCAGTCTTTCCTGTGGGGCAGGCGAGGCTATATTAGATGCCGATCACGACGTGCTCGCGGACGCACGAGATAACGGCAGCGCATGGCCGCATGTACACAAAATCCGCGTCCGAGTTGGACCTCCTTATAAGGGGGATTCTTTCCCCACTTGTATGAGCATGAAAACAAGAGGGACATCCACGCGCGCTCCTCCTCCGCCGCCCGCCTCGCCACGCCACGCCTCGCCTCGTCACGACGCGCCGCGGGTTGCGGGAATGAGCCGAGCCGATGTCTAAATTTTTGTCACGCACTACGGGTATACGAAAGGTCACTCGGGAGATGGAAAGAGTTTTTGCTGTAGTGGAGATTAAATGCGAATGCTGCACCCTTCGGCTGCTGTCTGTTCGTTTCATCTCCCTCGGTCCCTTCAGCTCCCGGCGCTGCCCTCTCGCCTCCTTCTCTTGCGCCTATAAAAGGGAGGTCGCTCCTCTCAGCAAGATGCACCAGAACTACTTCTTCCTCTCGCCACCGGTTCCTGAGCACTGCGCTGCTGCTACGATCTTCTCCATCCCGGCTTGCGGCGTGCACCGCAGGTCGGGACAGTAGGCCTTCGAAACCGCACTCTTTGAGTCCTGTACGGGAGAAGGGTGATAAGGTTTTTGGGGAGCGCTCTGCGCGACTACTGGCTGATTCATCACGGACGATCCGGTCGCCGACGACTACTTCCCCGACGACGACTTCTTCCCCGACGTCCACGACCTCCTCGACGACATGGCAGGCGAGGACACCGACCCCAAGTCCAGCGCTTCTGCTGCTGCTGTGCCGTACGTGTTCTTCTCCTTTCTGTTAGAAGTCCTGCTACAGTTCTTGGCTCTAGTTTCTGTCCTACATATGTTAGGTTCTATGTCGTATAACCAACTTCATCTAGTGACTGTTCTAGATGTGTTTACCTCAAGTTCATATATGCAGACGATGTTTACCTTCTCTCTGTCAGATTGCATGACTTGCTTTATATTTGCTATTTTAGTCATGTTTTATCTACTATTTCTGTTAATAAAATCATTCGGTAAATTGCTCATATTTCCAACAGTGGGCGTGGGAGTAGGGATCCCGGTGGTTTCTGGTGGCTAGGATTCGCCCTTCAGTCGCTCGCGGGAGCGGCGCGATGGGGAGGAGGGGTGATGTGGGCGTGGGAGTAGGGATCCCGGTGACGCTGGACGCTCGCCTCTCCTTCCAATGGGAGTTTATATACATTGTCGTATCTAATGTGCCCACCTCATCTAGGCACTAGAGCAATGTTTGCCGCGCAAAGAAATGCTCACTCCCTGATGCATTGTCATCTAGGAGTGGGCCAAGTCATCTGAACTAAAATCAGGACACTTATTTTGAGACGGAGGGAGTATTTAGTTAGTATAAACAGAGTGTTAGCTATGTCCTGAGTAGTGTAACCTGTTTGCGTCCTGCTCTGCCCCTCCTCTGTTTTTCTCGCGTCAATTTACTCCAGCGGCTTGCGTGCGTCTGCGCGTCCACCGGGAACAAGGCGACAGACAGAGAACGCTTGTGTTGTGAAGAAAAAAACTTGAGAGACTGCATTAGCAACTTTAGATAGAGTATTATAAACAGCCCACCATCTTCCACATTGCCTGCCTTTGGGGTATTAAAATGGACGTTCGTCTAGACCTCCGACTAAGTTGTTCAGTGATTAGAGTTTGACAGTTCGATTTTTTTTTCTTCTGAAAAAACTTTAAACTACTAGTGCAAATCTTAATCTTGCATTGCACTAATTAACCTCAGAAAGGAAGAGATAGTACAACTACTGAGGAGCATGTGCACATCGCACAGTACTAGTTTCTGCACTTCCCTTATTCTTCTTCAGCTCCACTAATTAATTACAGAAACAAGCTTCCTTATTATTGTTGCAACTCAGGATCACACACACACACACACACACACACACACACACACAGAGAGAGAGAGAGAGAGAGAGAGAGGTTTGGCCATACATGCATATACAGGTCACACAGGTTCAGTGCGGCAAAGCCAAAGGCCCAAATTCAGAAACAAAATAAAACGGAATTCATCACCCCCCTTTACATGAATAAAATCATCACAAAACGCATTACATGAATAAAATCATCACAAAACGAAACCCATCGGTTAAATTAAAAGAACGAAACCATTCCACGGCGGTTCAGTACAGCAAAGGCCTTCAGCCCCAAATTCAGGAATAAATAAGTGAAAGCATACCACACAGACAGGAGGTTCAGTACAGCAAAGCCCTCTGGCCCAAATTCAGAAATAAACAAAACGAAGTTCGATACAGTATTTACAGTGCACCTGCCCAAAGGAAAACAGGGGACTTCCTTTCTTCACCAGCTCCATCATGGTACTTGCGCATCTTCTGCATTGACAGGCTTCCTCAATTTAGTGAGTCTGATGCTTGTCCCGTTGAAGCCAACCACACCATCAGTCCAACGCTGCCAACGAAACAGACCGAAATACTGTAAGAAGCTATGACAATCACAAGCTCTAATATGGTTACACAAGTAAGAAGTACACACCCATCACACACGAAATGTGTTGCTTAGTTAATGTTTTTTCTGTGGGCAAGGCACGGAAAAAAATTCACAAAGACGTTGGTACAATTTTGTACATGCCGAGATCTAGCATGAGTATAGCTACAATTTTGCAGTCCTCTTTTCGGAAAGAAACCCCATTTTGTAGTCTTGCACCACATACAGAACTGGGGTATGATTTGTCTGAATAAGAGATCAATGCCTCAACAACTATTATTACTCATATCTGTTAATGGAGATGCCAATATTATAAATTCTAAGAGGACGATCATGAGAATTTAAGCAACTCTAAGAGGACGATCATGAGTTTCCAATGCATGTTAGTTAGAGATGGAACACACATAAGCAACTTAGAGCACCATTATACAACACTTAATGACTTGTCACCTACAATCTGCCGCCCTACAGGTGTTGACATCTATTAACCAAAGCTCTGTTCGAATATGTATAAGCACAATATATCTAAACATTTCGGTTGCATAAGCATATAAAATGGCATACAAGGTACATCCACTGAGACAGAAAATTGACTTGTTAGAAGATGAATAGGTACATCCACTGAGGCAAAAAATTGACTTGTTAGAAGATGAATCAATGTCGAGAGAATCAAAGACAATACAAAATATCCGACCAGCATACAGTGTACATATATACCTTGAGCCATCTAACTGGTAGACAACGAGTAGACATCCAGGTCTTCGCCATGAAGTCGCAGGTGCTGGTTTTGAAGCCCAAGCACCCAGTGGGAAGAGATCTCTTGCGTATCCTCGCCCAGCCCCAGCTGCTGCAAACTGCCCAGCCCCTCTACACGGCATAAGTTCAGACAACCACGTACTTGCAGGTCTGTCACTTGAGGGAGATTGGAGACCTTCTCCAGGCCTTCACATTTCTCAATATGAAGGAGCTCAGTGAGGTGTGGGAAGTCCTCCACAGCCTTCAAGTTGTTTGTTCTAATTAATTCGAGCTTCCTCAAGCTGACAGCATCCTCTCCAAGCTGTCGCGGTAGAGCCCTCAGCTTTAAGCAGCCTTCAAGTTTCAACCTCACCAAACGAGGAAACAGACGCAACCTTGCAGATTGGGCATCGTCGTTTCGAATCTCAGCAACTCCATTTGCTCCCCCTTCATCATCAGCATCTTCTGCTTCTTCTTTTTCTTCAAAAAAAGACCACTCCTCCCAGTTGGGCAAATGCTTGAGGACTAACCATTCAAGTTTAGGAAAAGCAACTAATTCGTTGCATAGGGGATCACCATCCCCGCAACCAACAAATTCAGGGCCAACCTTGGTAACTGCATATGCTCCATCAATTCTTAGAAATTTCAAGTTGGGTAGCTGGCCAATAGGTGGAAGATCCACACATGCATCGTAGATTTCTAAGGGTAATGTGTGCCAGCGAAGACAAACAGGTGTTACCAAACCAGTTGGGGTACTGCCGACCAAGGAATCCAATAATATGTAGGGTTTCTAGGTTGCTTGGAGGTATTAGCTGCTCAAACACCTCCTCACTGCTAACATCTTTTGAATATGATGTCCACTCCAGTACTAGTCCTTTTAGATGGTTTTTGTTCGTCAGTAATGTATTTGTACTATAGCAAGCCGCTCTTTCCAATTTAACCAACGTAAGATACCTCAGGAATGACAAAGATGACAACTCTTCCAACTTCCATCCATCTTGTACATCAGCATTTTCAATTCCTTCCCCAACCGGAAACCCTCGTAAATCAGTGAGGAACTTCAGTTTTCCTATCCCTTTCTGAACTTCATTTATTTTTGTATCAAGAAGACTAAGACATCTTAAACTGTACAATTGGGATATCGCCGAAGGAAGATTGTGCAAAGAATCACAATAATTCAAGCTCAAAATTTGAAGGTTTTGTAGGGAGCCAATGGATTCTGGAAGACAAGATATGCTAGTATAATCAAGATCAAGTAGGCGTAGATGTATCAGTCTTCCTATATAACCTGGAATGCTTTGTACAAGTGAGTAATTCAGTACCAAAACACGAAGAAGCAAAAATCTCTTGAACAATGAATCCTCAATGCTCCGTGGACCATGAACACTAAAGAAACTCCTCACCTTAGCTTCCACCTTATTCATGCTAGGCAACACTAATTTATCCTTCTTACTCACGGCAGTAACTCGTCGTAGTTTTGACATATTCTCACCACTTAATGTTTCAATATCACCAATAAAACACTCTTGTTTTGATATACTCAAAGCAATCTGTCTTAAGAGGTCATGCATTTTGCATTCAGCCTGGTTAAAAGATCCGTTATCTGGTTGGAGGAGATTTCGATGGATTAGCTCATAGTAGTACTCCTCTGCTGTGTCTTCTAGAAGTTGACCTTGTTGCTCCTCAATGAAGCCTCCAGCAATCCATAACCTGGTAATTACACGACGAAGAATGGTAGAATCTTCAATATACAATGCACAATAAAGAAAACACTGCTTCAGACGATATGGTAACTCATCGTAGCTTAGATACAAAACTCCTTCTATTTCATTAGATAGCATGTTCTGGGAGGAAGCATATCTTCTCAAAATCTTTTTCCACTCATTATCTGTTCGATCCCTGCTTGCCAAAACACTGGCGGTAACTTTGATTGCAAGAGGGAGGCAACCGCATTTACGGATAATCTCAATCCCCGTGTTTCTTAAATTCTGCACTTCTTTCTCATCAATATTCATGCTCTTCCAAAGTAGCTCCCATCCCACCTCTACTGACATGAGATCAACTCGATGGGTATGCTCTACGCCTATTCTCCTTGTAATTTGATCATCTCGTGTGGTTACCAATAGTACTCCAGATGTTGTTTTGTGTAATGCAGGTCTTAATAGATCCATCCATACATTGGAATGCCATACATCATCTAGAACCAGAAAGAAACTCTTTCCCTCTATTGTTTCTGCAAGCTTTTTCTGTAGCTCAGCTATGGTTTCACCTTGCTCATGATGCACACCAATATTTCGGAGCACCTCCTTCAAAAGAGTTACTTCACTATAGTCCTGCGAAACACAAATCCATGCATGCATCCTGAAGCTTCCTTTAATTTTTTGGTCATTGTATACTTTCTGAGCTAGTGTTGTCTTACCGACTCCTCCGGTTCCAACAACAGCGAGCTTGTAAGACTTCTTTTCCTTGTTTGCAAGCACCAAGTCCACCAACTTCCTGCTAGAATGTATGATTTCCTTTCCCACAAGGTTGGGCTCAACAAGGTTGGAACTTCTTATCAGTTTGGATGTTGGACCACTTTCATTAGGTTGTGCACTACTATTGAATGTTAAAAATATTTTGTCCTTTGAAATGTTCTCTATCTTTTTGTTGAGGGTTCTAATCCGAGCAGCAACGCCACGACGTGAACCAATCTTACAAAAGCAAGGGAAAACTAAATGACCTTTACATGCAGCCGATTTACTTGATGATGATGAAGGGTGGTTAGGCAGTAGCTTGCTTCCTTTGCATTTAGCCACGTCCAGAATTTCATCAACATCATATATAACATCTCTCAGTTGGCCAAGCCAATTGTTTACTGCTAACTCTTTTGCCCTCCTTTTCTCAGCATCATATATACAACATTGAATTAGTTCAACTCGTTGTAGCAGTTTTGCGAGCTCTTCTTCCACACCTAAGATTAGTATGGCTTCATTGGTAACGATATCTTGCAACTTACTGGCACATGATCGAAGCAGAGCTTCTAGTATGGTCCCCATGGATGAGGCAAATTCGGCGCTAGAGATATCCACCAAAGAATACCAGGGTCAGGGTGACTTGTTTAATTTCGGCATGGCAATAACCAAAGGCTGAAAATTAATACACAAGGTATATTAACATGCTTTGAACTGAGACAAGTCTCAGAAAATATATATTTGTTAGAAGTATAAATGTGTTCAGTTAGAGATAAGGAGAGATAGAGTTAGAATTAGTAACTTTCTTACAATATTGACTCAAAAGATGTGAACAGATATCACTACTTAGTTGTTGTTAACATTTAAGAAATATTAGCATAATGAAGCTATGCAACGTACATACAGATACAATGCAGTGAGTAGGACCAGGTATTGAGGTCTAAATTCCAGAACTAGCACTCTGTAGTTTCATTTTTCTTGCTTCCCTCCGGTAATATTAAAATGATTTAATGGTTTGGTTTTCTCAGCTCAAGGGTCTTAAATGGCAGCAGCTGCATAGAAGCATACACACAGAATCACCCAAAAAATTGTTGCATTGAGTTACAATATGTACAAATATTAATCATACAACTATATTTTTGTTTGTCTGTTCAATTCTACCCTTGATTTGTTTTGCATGTGCTAGACTAGAAATGATGGCAATTTATTCCATCGTAGTAATATATATGAAAGTATGATAGCAAGTATTTACCTTACAAAACCACTATTCCAATAAGGGAAAAGTTGTCAATAATACGAATCAACAGTGATCATCTGGAAGACACGGTTTGCCCTGATAATTTCAAGATCTCGCAGGGCTAGGTGCAAGCTAGAAGGAAAACAGAGAATAGAAAATCATCGGAGCCCTCGACAGGCCCATCTGAATCGGTAGTGATCACTGGAGTAAACTTATCAGAATTATGCAAGGGGACCAGCAGGTAAGGAAGGAAGCATGCATACGTACACACACTGATTAATTAGAAAAATAGAAGAAGATTAGAATGAACTAATAGCTTACCGGATCCAATTAATA